TCTGTGCGTGTATCTGCATCTGTACACGTCTGTGCGTGTATCTGCATCTGTACACGTCTATGCATGCTCCTACATGTGTACATGTCTGTGCATGTACCCCCACATGTACACATCTTTGCATGTATCTGTATGTGTACACGTTGCTATATAGATGAGTAAAAATATGGCTACAAATGAACCCTGTGGGAGCACGTGAAGTATCTGCAGGGATCTCATTTAAGCTTCCACCTATGTGTCAGGTTTTGACTATCCACCTTCTGAAAGGTTTCCAGGCTATTTTCAGATTATTCAAGTTAGGAAGTAAAACTGGAAGGAAAGTCATGTACATGCCCCATACATTATTAATATAGCACAGAAAACCCCAAAAAGCAATCAGATCTTTGGAAAAGTAATTTTAACTTTGATGTGGCCACATAGATTTTAGAGGGGGAGATAGGGTCATTCCACACCAAGTTCCCTGAGCCTTCAAATGAGGCAGAGAAATTTATAATGAAGTCCAGAGGAAATAATTTTGACAGGTACAAACCTGCATTTTCCCGATTATTAGGCGGATCTCTTCCTGAAGAATAAAATGTTTGGTAAAATGTTTTTCTTGTAAGTGTTCCCAGCAGTATGGGAAATTCCTGAGTGACAGCTGCGGGTCCTGCTACCTCTCTGTGCAGAGGTTGGGGGTGCTGGAGTGTCAGGACTGCCTCTCTGTCCATCCCAGGAGGAGGTGGCCACCCTGACTTCCTCTCTGAACTATCCCAAGGACAAGGGGTGTGACAGGCTGCCATAAGTTCCTAAAAATGTTTGGCTTTTGAAACTTCCATGTTTATAACACACGTCATGTAGACCAGCTGGTGATTTTACAGACGCCCAGCACCCCCAGCACATGTGCACAGAACATACACATTTCCCATGCTAGAATAACAAATTACCACTAACCTGGGGTAACCACAGATGTCATTTTCTCGCACAATACTGGACGCCAGACCCCAGCCATCGATGTGCTGGCAGGGCCAGGCTCCCCCTGAAGGCTCCAGGGCAGACCCTCCCGTCCCCCCCACTTCTGGTATCTCTCTGTGTCCTGGGCTGTGGCTGCTCCACTCCAGCCTCTGCTGTGTCCTCACGTGGCCTTTGTCCCTGTGTGTTCTGTTCCCTGTGTTTATCTCTTCCCTTCTCTAAGGACACCAGCCATTGGATTTAGGGCACAGCACGGCCCACTATGTTATGACCTCACCTTACTAATTACATGTGCAATAACCTTATTTCCAAGGAAGATCAACTATCCAAGTAGATATGAATTTCAGGAAGACACTATTCAGTCCACTACACTATCTAAATAAAATATTTAATTTAGAGACTTACAAACTAGGAAAAATACTTCATGTTTCCTTGAAACTGAGGAATCGTGTGACCTTGCTTGGCAGAAGTGTGACCTTGCTTTGGCAGAAGTTGCTAACGCATAGCCCATTGGAGAAGCCAGACGGTCGAGGGAGCTGTGAACAGGGAGTCGGTCAGTCCCAATTTCTCTGTCCTCAGAGGCCCTGCCACTTTATGCCAGTGGACATCCTAGACACGACCTTCACGTGGGCCCCTGTTAGTTCCTCCTCACTTTATGCTGCTGGCCGCCTTTAACAAGCAGAAGCACAGCCTGTTTGGTGCCTTGTGGCTGCTGAATCCCTCCTGAGAATGTATTTTCTGACAGTGTGGGGCCTGGAGTGCAGCGTTGCCTCCTGCCATCCCTGGCACAGGTACAGGGGCCCCAGACCTTCAGCGCATGGACGTGGCTCCCACTGACCTGGCTAGGCTCTTGGTAACAGCCTGAGCAGAAGTCCTGGCGCACTTAGGATGCAGGGATGGACGTGTGCCTTAAAGAGGCTGGGTGGTTCCTGCTGGTAGGTGCACCCTGAGCTCACCCTGAGAGCAGTGGGGGTCCCTTCTCTGCTGCGGGGATTTGGGCTGTGCCCCTCCCTGAAGGCTCAGGCTGGGCTTCAGCCCTCTCTGCTCTGCCGAGTGCCTCCTGCAGCTGACCTCGCTGGCCAGCTGTGGCTTTTTCTTGCCTTTGTCCCTGTGGGGCTTTCTCTTTGCTGTGCCTGTGTTGTCACTTTCTGGGTTTGGGGCAGGAACAGCGGAAACAGTCAGTGACTGATCTAGGGGTCTAGCCCGGGTCCCCTCGTCCCTGAGAGTAGGGAGAGCTCTGTGCACCAGCGAGAGGCACACCTGTGCAGAGGCGCCTGTGATGCCGTCAATGTAGCCATCTCGCTTCTGTGACCTGAGAGAGCAGGGTCTCACTCGTGCAACCTTATCCATCACAGTGCTCATCGTGTGGGACTAGGTACGTCTTTTCTTCTTGCAGAAAACCTCAGACGTTTGGCTCTCAGGACAGGGCTGATGTGTAAATAGCACTGATGGGTTTATTTAATCTGAATCCAGTGAAATATTGTGTGGAAACAGTGCCGCTGAGGTCCGGGGAATTCTGAGTGATGGAACTTGGTGTGCGCTTTATTTCTGAATGAATGGAACTAGAAAAATTAAACCAGAAACATTCTGGTCTGATTCTGTGTTATCATCTGCGATAGACATTGTGACTCAACTCAAAATATTCTGTCCTCTCTTCACATATATTTCCAGGTGTCTGCCTTTATCTGACAAGAGTTTTTCATGTTGTTGCTTTGAGTTGATACTCTGTGCTGCCTAAGATCCAACAATCCCCTTCTTCTTCCTGCTCTTTTCTGTTGTTCAGATTCATATTTTGACCTTACTACCTTGCCTTATCAACATTCAAATAATAAAGGAACCCAAGTGGGGATCCTTCTAATTGCTTCCTTAAACTTTTATGGATAATGCGTATGAATCAAGCAGGGCCCCAGGGGTGAACAGCCTCCGCTTTACTGTACCCCATCCTACAATGAGCCTAATTAATGCCAGAGTCCATAAAGCAGCCGTGTGCACCTCATAAAACTTGGGGAAGGCAGCACATCCCCCTGGTGCCGTTGGTTGTCATGGTTACTGTTTGAGGAGCACTCCATCATCTATTCCCACCCCTTCCTCTTCCTGCCAGGTGAGATCCAGGGTCTGTTGAATGCCTGGCCCTTGGCTGAAGGTCGGACAACCTACGAGGTCATGGGACACATTGGGGAGTGTGCAGCGTTGGGCGAGGAGTTAGTGACAGCCCTGGGGAGGTGAGGATCAGAGGGAAGTTTGCTGATGGCGCAGAGCTGGCCTCAGGGGCCACTGGTGGAGGGAAGAGGGAAGGGATGTGCTCAGTGTTGAGACACCCCAAGTGCTCTCCCTCAGGAGACTGAGCGCCCTAGTGGGCCCCTGTGTGGGAAGTACAGGGACACTGATGCCAACTGTGCCCAGACAGCTGTTTCTCTCAGAGCTTCTGAGTGAGGCAACAGCTCCCAGTGCTGGGAAGGGCACAGGGCACGGCCAGGTGACAATCTAGGGGATGCCAGGGAGGAGGCTCGGGCTGGGAGCAAGGCCAGGCTTTGGGGCTGCACCTGCTGAGGCCCTGACTCCTGCCCTGGGCACCGTCCTGGCCTCACCCGGGACCCCACTCTGCTCTTTCCATTGTCCCCCTCACGCCTGTCTCCTGCGTCCACCGGGTGAAGGTGCTGGTTTCTTCCCTCTGTGCTCTTCATTTCCACTGTGCTGATCATGCTGAGGGTTGTTGATGTGACCCATTTGGAAAAATACTGGAAACCCAGAAAAATGGGGTGAGGAGAGGGAGTTGTTACCGAAGGCCGAGCACAAGGAAGCGAAGTCTGGTTTGTGGGTCGCTGGCCTCAGGGGGAGTCCCAGGGAGGCCCTTCAGCATCCAGGCTGTGCCAGCCTGTTCATTTGCTTTTCTGTGGGCGTCCTTGCCTGGGCACGGCTCGGTCTGAATGTCAGCATGAGGCAATGTCCCTCTTGGGCAGAGTCATGAGAACCCGGGTTTGGGTGGCTGGATTCCCAGACCTGAGGTTGGATCTGGTTCTCACCCTTCACTACCTCGAGACTGGGCTGGACCCCTGCAGCTCTGAGCCTCTGCATAGGAAAGTGGGACAGGACGACCTGGGCTGAGAAGCACTCAGCGTGACACGGGATGCTGGCTGGCCCCCATGAATTATTTGCTGCTGCTGTTGGTCTTAAAGTTGGGATTACATCATAACTTTGACCTTGGGTTTGCACTGCAAGTTTGGGCTACTTCAACCAATAGCGATGACATGTCAGCTTTCTGGAGCAGAGGAGAGAATAATGGCCTCTTCCCCAGAGGTGTGTGGAAGATTAACGAGAAAGGGCTTTGAGGCCATCTGGCATAAAACACTCCTATGAAAGGCAGACGCTCCTCTGGGCTATTTGTTCTTGGTGGGGGGAGGGGCAGCAGCCTGGTGTTTCTTCTGCAGGGACCCCAAGCACACGAGCTGGCACATCTGTGAGGCCGAGCTGCCCAGCAATGCGCTGACGTCCCTCCCTGGGGGAGGGCACTGAGGGGTGCTATAGGCAGTGCCATGGAGAAGCTCAGAGCGGGGAGCCCTCTGGCAGAAGTTGGGGCAGGAGAGGAGAGGAAGACAGTGAGGGGGGGGGGTGCAGCAAGGGAGGGCTTCGATCCTGAAGGTCTGGAGGGAGAGGGAGCTCAGGGCAGGGGAGTGTCGTGTCACTGGGAACCCCCTACTTTGCTCCAGGCCTGCTCACACACCTCACCTGGCCTGAGCCTGAGCAGCATGGCCACTGAGGTGTGGCAGCTGTCCTCTCTGCCCTCATGACACAAAGCAGAGCAGAGTCAAGTCCATGGCTAAGCTGGCCTGTCCAGTGTTTCAGGAGGGAATTCAAGATTCTGGGAAGCTGCAGCCTGCTGCAGTGGTGACTGACGCCCACATTGGCACTGGGAGTGTCACAAAGTCTGACCTTGACTTTTGAATCATGAGAGGAGGAGCCGGTCCTACTCCTTACAGCTTCAGTGTGGGCCAAGTGTGTTTTGTTGTATCTGTGCTCAGAGTTTACAGGGATTATCTCTGATCCTCACAAGAGCCCTGAAGGGAGAGTGTCCAGGATCCAAGGACCCAACCTGGGCTGAGTGCTGACAGGGGAAACAGCCCCAAGGATCTACATGAGCCTGAGACACAGAGTCTGAGAGGGCCTGGGGGAGGCGTGCGCTGCCCACAGAGCCGCAGATGGGACAGCGCAGGGGACTCTGCCTTCTCAGAAGGCTTTTAGTGATTCCCAACAAAAGTGTATGTGCAAAATGCAAAGATGCCAATAGAGAGGGTTAAAGAAATCCCAAGTGCCCAGGGAGACTGGATGGCCGGGAAGGCTGGGTAAATAGGAACAGAGGGTGGGGGGTTGTCAACCCACAGCCGATGGCATGGTTCTTAGAAAGGGGCAGGGAAGCCAGGTTCAGCCCCACAGGGCAAGCTGCCAGGGTGCCCACTCTACACTGCCAGGCAGGAATCCAGAGGGCTCAGTCCTGCCCCACTGGTTGACTCTGCTCACCGGGATAGTGGCAATGACTTCACCCTGTTCTGGGGTGCCTCTGGGCTCTTTTCATCTCAGGTGGTCTTGATGAGCCCTCATGGGTGGTGCATCTTCTCTCCTTCCCGATTACCCTGGATTGAGGTGGAGAACCCCACTGAGAAGTTGACTTATCTGCCTCCCACAGGAGCGGTGTTCCTCCCCACAGCCAAAGGAACCAGCCCCGAAAGCCACATCGTGGGAGGGAGCAGAGCATTGCTGGTCAGTCTCCACTCCCGCACTAACTCCCAGGATCACACGGACAAGAGCCTGCAGGCCCAGGCAGGTTCCCAGCACCACAAACCTGGTTCTTCTGCTGACCACTGAGCAGTCCATTGTGGTAGCACATTTGGGCACTACATTTAAATTAACTAAATAGGCACATGTGGCCATTAAATTTAATTAAAGTAAAAAAGTCCTATTACTAAAATGTACCAGCCACTTTTCTTGTGCTTAAAGGCCACAGGTGACCGTGGCTGCCATTCTGCACAGCACCGATGACAGATACCCCCACCACCACTGAGGGCTCTGCTGGGCAGTTTTGGATGAAAAGCCCGTGTTTATTGCTGCGATGAGTCTGGCTTTTTGAAAGCTCCCCCCATTCTTGGAGCAGGCAGACCTTTCTATCCAGGTGACTGAGGATGTCACCCTAGGCCCCCAGTGGGCACTGACTGTCCACTCCCTGAGGGCTCATCTTAGGGTCCAGGCCCAGGGCTGGGGTGGAATCTGCTTTGTCCCTTGCAGGCAGGAAAGTGGTATAAACGTCTGCCTTAAATTTGGTTCTGTAAAATGTAATCTAACACTAATTGAAAGAAATAGTGTTTGTATTTCCCTAAAATTGGTGTATTTGATTCCTATAGTTGCTGTAACAAATTACCCAAAATTTGGTGGCTTAAAACAATACCTGTTTATGATTTTATAGGTCCAAGGCTCAGAAGCCAGAAATCACTTTCCCCAAGCCCAGAGGTGCTGTCCCACGGGACCTGGGGGGGTGAAGTCTGTCTCCTGGTCTGTGACCCCTCTGAGCTGCCTCCCCTGGGGACTGTGGCTCTGCGTCCCTCCTCTACCTTCACAACAATCAGCACAGCATCTGGCCACAGTCCTTGCACCACTTTTTCCTTGTGTCTCAAACGTCCCTTTGTGTCCCTCTGATAAAGGGACTGGTGATTGCATTTGGGGTTCCTTAATTCAGCCACATCTGGGGTCTCTTTTGCCACATAAGAAAACATTCACAGCTTTCGGGGATTAGGATTTGGGTATTTTGGGGGCCACAGGTCAGACAAAGAACCCCCTGGCTGGCAGCTGAGCATAGTGGTTAAGAACTCCATGCTGAAGAACTGGTCACCCCAGACCTGATGGCTGAACGCAGCTACTTCTTATTTTCAGGGTATCTGCTGGTCTGTGTGTTTGGGGCCTGGCAGCTGATCTTGGCTGGGCTTGCTCACGTGTCTGTGGCCCACTGGAGGGTTGGCTGTGGGTTGGTTGATCTGGGGTGGCTCTGTGGGGACAACCCCCGACAGTGTCTCCCATCCCCCCACGGGGCTAGCCTAGCACTGCCCTGGGTTCACGTGACCGTGATTCCTCCAGTGAGGACAGAGAAGGCAGAAACACACAAGCAGTTTTTAAGGTTCCTCATATTACGTTTGACAGTTTCCCATTGGTCAGAGGTGGCTACAAAGCTGCAGGGCAAAGGGGAGGGCATGAGGTGACCATGAGTTAGGACCACTGATGTAACCGACTCGCCACTGTGGTCGCCGAGCGGGGGTCGACCCAAGCCCTGCTCTGCCGTCTGCCTGGAGACGAGTCGCCTCTCTGAGGCTTCCTTTCTTCATTTGTCACGTGAGATGCTAAACACGTGTCATAGAGCTGTGAGGATTCAGTGAAATAATGACTGAGAATGCTCCGTAAAATGCTGGGAGCAGGATTAAAATGAAATAAATGTCAGCTACTATGATTCCCCCAGGATAATCATAATGGCAATTATTGTTTTATCTGTAGTCACCATCGGAGCTGTTTTGCCGTTGACGTTCTCTCTTCTGTTCCTTACGATGATCAAGAACACACCAAAAGTTGAACTCTGGAAGCACCGAGCTTGAAATTCCCACGTGATCCCAACTCAAGCAGTAGGAAGGAAGATTAGTCCATGGAGCTGCACACACGTCCATGCGGCACTAGAGGCGTGAGTTCTTTCCCTTTAAAACAGAATCGAATTTTGCAGCTTCAGAGTGGAATTAGTGTGATTTTAATAGTGAATTTGTAATTGGCTTTAACTATCCTGTATTAAAAGTGATTACCATTCGTGTTGGTCTCTGGAATGGAAATGCAGGGGGTCGGCCTGGCTTAGAGCAGCCGCACCAGTGACTTTCCCCTTCTGCAAGCAGATGTCAGCTGAAAAAAAGACGTGTCATTAAGTTGGAAGCTGCTCAAAGTCTAAGTGAATAGAACAAAATCCTTGCAAATAATGAAGGTTTTTGAACTTTAATTTAGCATTAAATTACTGTGATGAAATGCCCCAAATTAAGAGGCTTTGGAGACTCTATTGTTTCTTAACTCAGAAAAAAGCAGAATGAATATGCATGAAACTGGTGAGAACTATGCGGGCTTGCAAAATTCCAAGTCATTAATTGTTTTCAAAATAATGTTTCTGGAAACTGTTTCTAGTTTTTGCAGGTGAGGCCTGGCAAGGCTGGAATTTCTCCTGTCACTTTGCCCCAGGCCCAGAGAGCTGCTGAAGAGACTCCTCCCCGTCCTCAATGCCTCTCTTCCAGTCCTCAAGGGCTTTCTATAGAAAGCTGGAAAGTGCTTCTTGACAACTTCAAATCACTTTTATCTCTGTGACATATGGGCTTTGGATGGTTTCCTAGAGAAATACTTGAAAATATAAGTGCTTTCCCCAAATCTCCCAAATCCATGGTTTTCAAATGTCTTTTTCATTGAGTGACAGCCCATGTATGCCCGGGTTCCTTAAATGTTGGGGGGCATGCCTCTTGGTGTTATCCCTGGAGAAATAGAGTTTTAATTTCAAGGTGGTTTATTTTAAAAAATTACAAAGATTGGCTATTTTAACAGTTATTTTGTTTAAGTCTGGAAGGCTCAGTGGCTGCCATTTATCCTTGAATGCAGAGACCCATTCATATAAAGCTGTGGGAATAGCCTGTGCGGTGTGAGTTGTGTCCCTGACTCTGAGAGCCTCAGTCTTACAACTGCAAAGTGGGGAGAAGGGGACCAATCCCATATGGGTGTTCTGGGGTATGGTCATGTTCTGAGTTCTGGGTTATGTTCTGCGTTATGGTTTATGACTTAGGGTATGTTATGAGTTAGGTGTTGCCAAGAGACAGTCATTGTGAGGACTCTGGGGCGGGGAGGCACTAATCCAGGGTCAGCTTGCTCCGACCACTCTTTGCTTCCATCAACCTCCTGTTCTGACAGTGGCTGGCCCAGGAAGCACTTAGGAAAGAGTGCGTTCTGTTTTTTAAGTCAATTGCTCAATTCTCTGCTTTGCTAATAATATATGTGAATTCTGACAACCGAGTTTGATTTTCATTTTCAACTTTAAATCCACTTTAAATTAAAGCAGAATGTTATCTAGTTTTTAAACATTTAATACACTCAATCTCATTTTCTAATGACAATATCGTGTTTTGAACATATTTTATGCTATTGTATTTTTTGCTTTTATGTAAGAATGAAGGTAATTGCTAATTTAGTTAAAGGAAATTTAATGGGAGCCAAGTGCAGAATTTGAGACGGCACCCTCCCTGCCACACTGGGTGGCGCCGTGCTTGCTCTGAGTGTCTCTCTGTGCCCCAGACTCTGCACTCGTGGGGGAGAAACCAGACTTGTTCATCTTCTCATGGCCGCGTACAGAACACCCTCTGTTCTGTAGAACTGCTTGGTATATGTTTGCTGATTAACTGGAAAAAAAAGCCAAAACTTTACCCTTAGCTGGTGATGTGCTCTGTGCCAGGCGGGCCCTGGTCTGAGTGAGGGTCTGTGCAGGTGTGTGCTCCAGGAGGCCCGGGGAGTGTGTTGCCTTCTCCTGCAGTAAACGCTGAGAGAGTTGAGGCCCGGGGAGTGTGTTGCCTTCTCCTGCAGTAAACGCTGAGACAGAGTTGAAGGTGAAAGAAGAGGGAGGAGGTGGAACTGGGCAGAGCGTGGAGGGGAGTGGCAGGGGGCCTGGCCAGGTGCTCAGGGGTACTGGTCCCCACCAGAGGTGTCTGCCTTGGGCTGACCTCCTCCTCATTCAATGGCCAGATACCGGCTTCTCTAGGGCAGGGAGCTTGGCAATGTTTAGCAGTTGGCTCTCTGAGGAGAGAGCTGGGACTTGCAGCACACACTGCTCTCTGCAGTGTGAGCCCTGCCACCAGGGCTGATTGCTCACTGCCAGTGTGACTGTTGCTGGATAGAGCTGGGAAGAGGTGTAACCTCCGTCCTCTCCAGCCACGGAGCTTGCTCAGTGAGACTGTGGCCTGGGAAGGGCTGCTTCTTGCAGATGTTGGGGGGCGGGGAAGGGCTCTGCTCACACAGCACCCCTGATTTACTCACCTTCCTCTGATCCAGGGGCTATAACAACCCAGTGTGCATAAGGGGAAGCGGTCACCCAGTGGGCAGTGGTGCCCCAGGATTGGAATCAAGTGTGTTTGGTGCCCCAGTCTGAGCTCCCACCCTACCCCCTGTCCCATCTGGCCCCCTGCCTCTGGGAGAAGATGACCCTGACCAGAGACCCTCCAGGGCCAACTTGGGTTCTCAGTGCTGATGTGAGTTCTAGATGAAGCAGCCATGGTTCCCTTGCTACTGTCTCTTTGCCACTGTGGAATGTGGCAGACACTGTGGGCGCTTGACCACACTGTCCAGCCCCACCGTCCAGTCCCCCACCAATGGCTGGGACCTGTACCTCAGGGCCTTCTCTACAGCTACAGCCCATTTGGTCTGGGTCCCTTTCTCCCCTTGAGAAGCCTTCAACTAATTACTGAATGATCAGCCTGGGAGATGAACACCCAGCCCCCATCCCTGTGGCTGTAACTGTGAGGTCTGTGGTCTCTGTGCTCCCCGGGAGCTCCTGACAGATCAAGCACGGCTGTCCACAGCGGACCTGCTTGACAACACTGTCTGGATGTTTCTTCCTCTGTTCCCTGCCCACTCTCCCCCTCCCTGACAATGCTTCCTGGGATCATGTCCCAAATAAAGTACTTGCACACCAATCTTTGTCTTAAGGCAGCAGTTCTCAATCTGTGGGTCACAACTCATAGGAATTGCATTAAAGGGTTGTGGCATTAGGAAGGTTGACAACCACTGCCTTAAATCCTGCTTCTGGGTCAACCCAAACCAAGATGCAGAGAGTTCTCTGTCTTTAGGTGAAGCCGTATACATTACAGATCCCTTGTGTACCTTAGTGGAGCTGGTGAGGGGGTTGCCCTGAGGCCAGCACCCTAGAATTGTCCGGAGCCCTGCATGGAGCCTGACCGACGTCTTTCTGTGGTCCTTGGAGAAGATGGCAATGTGGTCAACACGAGGGGACACAGGAGAGTGCATGGCAACCCCCTCTGCCCTGCAGAGCAGCCACAGGCCCCTTTAGCTGCCACCTGCCAGAAAAAGCCAGTGCTACCTTGGGCCCCAGGCAGCACTCTCCATTCACTCACCCTGACTTACCAGACTCTTCTGCCATGAATGACTTTTGACTGTCCCTGAACTTCGGATTTACTTTCAAATTTTGAAGACTTTCTACCAATTCAAAGTAACTTGTTATACCTTTTTGAAAGTAGCAGAAGTATCCCAACAATGAAATAAAAAATAGAACTGTTTTTTAAGAAACAATGTATATTTGGTTTTTTTTAACAACGTGTATTTGGATGTGGAATTTGACCCATCTGTAGAAATACCTGTCACATTGCCTAGAATGACATCTGATGTGTGACATTTTGCTTTCAAAGTAGGCTTTTGAAAACCATATTGAGTTTTCTATAGCAACATGATTTTTTCTCCTTAAGAGCTTGTCTTTTTAATTTGGCAAAAAGCCTTTTCCATCCTGTAGAGGACAAAAAACAAAACAAGACAACTCTCCATTGTGTACAACCTCTGGAGAAAGCATTGAAATTTGCATTCTAAGAAAAAGACTCTCTACGCCCTTGGGGTCTGCAAGAGTGTGCTGAAATTTTAAATATGAATGTAGTGGAATCAATAGATTGTTTTTATTTTTTTTCCTCTTTGAAGAATCTTAAGGACAATTAAAGAATTTGTAATTTTTTGAAAATGTACAATATGGTGAGTGAGTGTGCCAGCACAGTCACCGGCCCCCAGGAGGAGGATCCTTTTGATAAGAACTGACTTTGCCAGATGAAAAGAATCTTACAGACAAGTCAGAGAGGGACACATTAGTATTCTCAGGAAAGGCTTCCAGGTTTAATGACTTCCGTAGTGCTTTAACCATAAAGCACAGAAATGTTCTCCCTACTTAAACCACAGAAAGTACGATCTTTTACCATCCACCAAGAATCATATTGATGTTAATTATTTTTTGATACTCAAAGTAAGCTTGAGTTTGGGCTCAAGAATATTTCTTTGAGGTTATTTTAAGGATAAATTGGACTGTCATTGGAAAGATGCATGTTTTCATGGAGGAAACAGTATAATTTTTATATCCCTCAAATTCTACAGAACCTTAATTTAAAACACATTGTTTAAGAGACAGAGCCTTACTCTGTCACCCAGGCTGGAGAGCAGTTGTGTGATCATAGCTCACTGTAACCCCGAACTCCTGAGCTCAAGGGGCCCCTCCCATCTCAGCCTCCTGAGTAGCTGAGACCACAGGTGTTTGTCACCATGCCTGGATAATTTTAAAAAGGTTTTGTATGGATGGGGGCTCCCTATGTTGCCCAGGTTGGCAAAACCTTAATTTTATAAAGAAGTGTTGATGAACTTTATTGAGCCTTTGGGAACGTGTGCTCAAACTGCTTTTCGGTTCTGTTCTCACGTCTTTGCATGAAAGGGGACGGACTCTGTGGACGGGCTGGCCAGGTGAGATGGACGGGGCAGGACTCCTGGGCAGCATTTCTGCAGTGCGATGTCTGACACTCCCAGCTGCCCCCGGCACCCTTGTGGATCAAGCTGACCTGGCTCAGGGCCACAGAATGGCTGGGACATCACCATGCACCCCTGCGCCCCCAGTGTACTCTGATGGTACACGAGTGGATTTCATGGACATTGCAACCTCCTCTTCCCCTCAGACTAAGGCACACCCCCTTTTGCACAGAGAGAAAGACTCCAGAGCTCCCTTCCTGGAGGAGGCTTTGCATTCCGACCATCTCCAGGCTACTTGTGGATGGAAACGCCTCCAGGATAGAGCCTGGGCACCCACGTCAGACCTTCTGTCTTTCAACCCTCAAGGCCTCTTCTATTTTACTTTATAGGAAGAAGACTTTGCCAAACTTGTTTTTTTTCCTATAAATCCTGAGACTTTTGACTCAGTAGCTTCCTGTTTGCAGCACCTGAGGAATGCAGTCAATCGCTGAGCCGCAAACTCCATCTCTTAGTACCAGAATTTGCTGGTGTTGGTTTCTCCAGCCCCCAGGGGGTCATTGTGGACTAGGACTGAAAGTCATTTCTTTGGAGCATTTCCCCAGAAGTTGAACCCAGGGTCATTTCCTAGGGCCACTGTGTCACATTACCACAAATAGGGCAGTTTAAAAGAACAAATTTATTCTTTCACAGATCTGGGAGCCAGAAGTCCAAAATTGAGGTGTGGGCAGGCCCATGCCCCTCCAGAGGCTGCAAGGGAGGGTCCTCCCTGCCCTCTCCAGCCCCAGCAGCCCAGGGCTCCGGCATTTCTTGGCTGACAGGTGCATCACTGCAGTTTCCACCTCTGTCTGATGTCACCTTCCCCTCTTCTGACACTCAGAGGACATTTGTCACTGTATTTAGGGACCATTCAGGTAATACAGGACAACTTCAACTTGACACCCTTAATTTTATCTGCAAAGACCCTTTCTCTGGCCAGCTTCACAATTCTGGGGATTAGGGAGGGTCATATCTGGGGGAATGCCAGTCAAGCCCGTACATCCCTTCTGTTTCATCATCAAAATGTACACAGTAGTGTCTTCCCTTGATGTGGCAGGTTATCCCTGAGCTTCCTTCCCCTCTGACTGCTCCGGAGTTGGGATTTCATGTTTTCTTTCAGTAATGAGCCTCCACCTGGCTTCTCATCACATCAAACTCTCTACTGACAGATGCCAGCTGACCTTAAATACCAGAACAGAGAAACGAACCAGGTGGAGAGCATCTGAGTTAAAGCTGGAAACATGAAGCCACATACACAGATCAGTTTGAATACTGAACTTCAGTTCTCTTTATAGACATTAAGCGGACATTTGCCTCGTATTGTAAGCAATGAGGCAGCTAAGTGAAATGCTTATTCGTGCTTGCAGAACGGCAGGAACCCGCCTTCCGCTTTGGGATGGGCTTCTGTACTGGTCCTAATCTCATGACCAGCGGGGGAGCTGCTTTCTTCTAAAGCTCTTTCTCTCCGTGCCGCTTTCTTCACCTCTTCCTGAACGGCAAATCCTTAACCAGGTGGGCAGGTGCCACACACTCTGCAGCCCATGTCCATGAGACCAGGGCTGTGTGGCTGCCTCCCTCGCCGGCACCCTTATGCCTTCCTATCAGGCGTGGTGTCCGTGGTTGATGGCTGTGCCTGAGCTCCACCAAAGTGTGGGTGTGCAGATGCCATGGGCAGCTCTGCTTCCCTGAACAGGCTGGGAGCACTGTTCCCCTTCACCCTGCAGCTCTGGGATGCTCTCATCTTCCCTTGCATTCAAGGAGAGTTTTTAATGCAATCTCTCTTCAAGGAATTTATCCTAAGGACATATTTGGAAAATGCACTAAGTGTGGGCACAGAGTTATGCAATAGCCGGGCTGACCCCTGATAGGAGGCTGGTTACGCAAATTAGTA